TAAAAAAAAAAAGAATGTCTATAGTGGGAATTGGGAGCCAGAACCTTATCCATGGAGAGAAAGCTTGCCTGATCTCCAGCCGACTGCCCCGACTTCCCCAGTCGGTTCTGATGGGTGTTGTGAGCATCCGCCATAACGATGTTAACCATCTGCTGCTATCGGTTCTTTTATTTGGAAGCCTGAAGGAGGAAACAGCCTGTTCTGCCCAGGACTCTCAATTGGGAACTCCAGCTGGCTGCCTCAACAGGGTTTCCGGAGTCGATTTCTGCTGGAAGCTGGAAGCCCCCCATTCTATGACGTGACCTTTAGTCTGCAAGCTTAGCGAACGCTATGCCTGTTGTGGCTGCTGGATGCTCTAAGCATGCGGTTTGACGATGTTTTCATATCCATCTTTGATTCTATTTGAGCTCTGTTTACTTTTTCTTCCTATATACGTTAATAAACTCACTCATCCAAAACCAAAAGCACAGCTATTGTTGGCTCTCCTCTGGACAGCGAGTAGAGAATTAACTGCCAACTAAGTGCCTCAGTAGCATCGGTTGGAGGTCCTGGAGGTTCGGCACCACTCACACACTACAGTCTGACTATAGCCGTTTTTATTGCACACTTCTGTGTATTCAGCACCAACAATGTTGGTTCCTTCAGATCACACAACATACAAAGCACAGATCCTGCCCACAGGGCACTCACAATGTGGCCAACTATTCAAAGAAATATTAAAACTGTTACAATGTATATTACACAAATTATGTTATATCAAAAGCATTTCAGATAACGAAACTGAAACCTCAAGACACAAATGAAGCAAAGATCCACTTTCATCTAGTGTGAGCCTAGAAGTGTTTTGAAATTACCAAAACATTTAGTAAAATCCTGGACTCATGAAAGACATAAGCACAAACATTTTAAGACAGCAGGTAAATGAACTGTTCATAGTAACTGAAATGTGGCAAACAGACCCTTATGATACCTGACAGGCTGTTTCTAATGTGCTATTGAGTAAGTAAAAAAATTCTGACGTATAGTCTGTAGTTTTATTATAACTTATATTTCATGTTTCCCTTCATTTTATGCTGCCCTTATAATTAATGAAAAGGCAGGGCAGTTAAACTCTGTTTGAATGTTCCTACATTTTGTAGGCCTCTCTGAAAAACTAGACGACACATAGGTACATGTACATGTAAGGGGCAAAGTCGCTCTCCCTCCAGGGGAGAATTTGAATTCATACAGATTTTCACAGAAGTCTAATTTTCTAACACTGGCATTGCTATTTTCTGCCTAGCCCTGTTCTAATATGAGATTTGGAAGCCTTTCACACTAACCTGCCCTCACCTCTTGGATGCAATACATTGGGCCTTTTATTTACCTGTTTTCATTTACACTGGTTTGTACTGGTGCCGGACAGGACTGGGCTGTAAATGTATGGACGTTAGACTATGCAGAAATCTATTTCCTCCAGTGCAAAAGTCAGAGGGCTAAAATTGCACAGAGCATATTGTATATATGTAACATATTATACAGGATACATTATATATGTATTATATGTGAAATATTACATAGTGTTATACATGTGCTATTTTACAGAGAATACATATACACACAAATATATTACATATATGTAATATATATTACAGAGACCGTATTACATATATATGACAAAGAGAACCATGTCTAGACACCCACTTAAAGATCATGTTAATATTACATACTTGTTTTGCATGTTTAACCCATACAGTCATTCTTTTTCAAAAAAATTATTTTCATTCTATGTGTATGAGTGTTTTGCCTGCATGTATGTGTGTAGCACTTGCGTGCCTGGTGCCTGAGGAGG